CATCTGGACTCTGCTACCCCTGGTGGCTGACAGAGGAGATGCACAGCTTCAAACCATTGCCCCCCATCTTTTCTACCACTAAATAACCTGAGCAGTTGAAACAGTGATGTTAACTGTGTTGTCTGTGTGTCGCAGCTTATACGTGATCCAGCTGGTTCTGTATAACTGTAACCTGCTGCTAAACCATTAACCATGGAGCTAAAATCTGTGTGACAGCTCCATAATACAGGTTTTTAAATCCGCTATTCCCATATTATTATTATTATTAAGTGTTCTGTCTTACGACAGGTCCATTGCTCTGCCCAAAAAGAGCTCTCCAGTTGTCCCTATTCTCGGCTTCTCGCTTTAATTCCTGGAACGTCATCTTCTTTCCTTGTTTAAGGTCGTCGGTTAGCTGTATCAATCTTCTTCCCAGTCCTCGCTTTCCTTCAACCTGGCCTTCGATGATATCACTCAGTAACCCATTCCTTCTCATAATATATCCCAGATTCCCATATGACGAAGGCTAAACTAAGAACCAATCATTCCTCATCAGGGGTAGCAGAGTATAGCTTATAGGTGTCCCAGTAAGGAACTGGTTTTCTTCAACGCTGCAGAGGCGGGTGGAAGTCGGGAAGACCAAGTAGACAATAACCGGATGGTTTAACCATAACAGATTTGTGAATTTTTGTTTCATTTTTTATGATATGACTTTGGTACTCGTTAAAGAAACTCTAAAATCACTAGGGATCATGTTTTTTGACTAAAACCCTTTGTGTTGAGTACCAAAGGTATAATATCTAGAGAAACATTGTTCTAATGCTGTCTTTTTTCTTATTTCCACAGGACTACATGTTCTTTGAAAAGTCACAAAATAGAGAAAGAGATGGTATCGGAATGTTCTAATATAAACGGACAGTGCGCTGTGTAAGTTTAGTAACGCTGAATACCACAACATCTGCATGGGACAAAGTTTTCCTGTACTACACACAGGTGTTATATGTTAAAAATTAATGCAGCTGATTCCTATTTTATCTGATTGTAAAGTCATCAAAGGAGTATTTTCTTTCACTGTGTTTGAGCATCATAGTGTGATTATAATAACAGGAATAAAATATTTCCTTGTCTCTCTTGACAAAGGAAGAAGTATTAACATTACAAGTTCACGCAGTTTAATTCCACGCTTCTGATTTATTAACACAGATTACATTATTACATTGTTTAATATAGTCAGTTACGTATTTAGATGAAGCTGATATTGTTAAATTATAAAAATATTAAATTATGATTGAAACACGCACTGAGATTGTTAATACGTTTAAAACATGCTCTCAGATGTGTGAATTGAAATTATATATTAAATTATTATTATTAAAATATTCTCTGATCATAATAGATTTATTCAGAAGTAATACTAATTACTGATTAACCTTTCGTGATTGAATATTTTGTCATTTGACGGTAGTCGTGTTTATTTTAATGAAGAATTGCAAAAATTGCCTTGCACACGTGACGTAAGAAATGAATTAAAATTCCCCATATAAAATGAACTTGTTGTTAAAAGCACTTCCCTAATATGGGACTAGTGTCATTACAGGCTTGAATGACATACTTAACATTAATTGCTTTTAGTATTAAAATCAAAGGCCAGGCTTTCTGGTACATTTGTTAAAAGTGTAGACGACAGCCCTCCGTCTGTTGCTACAAAGAACGCGGCAGTCTTTTCTGTCGTGTTTCAGATTTTGATTTGCTATCGAGCCATGCTTACTTATTGCTTGTCAGAGATTATTATCTCTTGTGTAGTTTTGCTGCGGACACGAGCAACCAGCTCCCATATCCGCAGTCCGTCGCGGAAGGGCAACCATTTTGTTGTCATGCCTGTATGCCATAACATAATGCATTTTTTTGTTTATGTCCAACATTTGGGGCTTCATCTGACTCGGGAGATCTATCCTGTTTATTTATATAGTCCCAGTCACTGTCAAATGGAAACCAGTCTTCGCTAATCGCTGCTCCAGGTTGCAAAATTCATGAAATCTATTAGCGTAAGTTCCATTACTGTTCTTGTGACGAAGGACACGCCTGGGAGTCGTATCAGTGCCGCAGTAGAATCTGTAGTATGGCGTGGGAGGATCAGCTGGTTTGCATATCTTGGAACTCTACACACGTCTGTATATTGAACCGCATCGTGAATTTCTTCTACCCTAGTCTGAATAGCAGCAGGACTTTGACGACTCACATGAACTATCTAAAGTATTTTATAAATTTGATGTCTGATAAACCAATCTTCAGAAAAATAGTCTTTGATTCTGGTTTTGGATTTACGCGTTGAGAAAGACACCTAGAAATTCTTTGAACTCTGTCAGTATAATAGCAGTCCAGGTCACCCAGATGA